AAAAAAAAAAAAAAAATGAATACTAGGAACGGGCATTGCTGCCCATGCTGGCTTAGTGGTGGGCAGAGGCTCTCAGAAGATTGGCTGTCCCTGGAGCAACTGGACTGGATCAAGGGTCCCAACACTGGCTGAAGCCATGGTGTGCACCCAGTGCTCCCTAACCTCCAAGGCTGACCTTGTCTACTTGTTCCAGATGGGCCCGCAGCTGCTTCTGGAGGGAGTAGAGAGTAGAGAGTGAGAGTGCCTCCAGGTCAGGGAAGGTGGGCAGGGCCTGGGGGTCAGGCCCTGCATGCAGCCGCTCTAGTTCTTCCTGGAGCTTCTTCACCTGCACCTCCAGCGCATCCCGCTGTTCCCGAGCCAGCTCGCATTCAGCACCTGCCGCACTGGCCCGCTCGCCGGCCTCCTCTGCCTCCTTCTTCCAGGCATCACAAGCCTGTGGGCCCAACACGCAGCGCCTCATCACGATGGCCCCCTGCCCCTGCCCCCCTGCCCCCCCAGAGAGCATCTCTGGGAGCCTGTGTGGGCCACTCTGGCTGTAGGGCCTGCTGGAAAGCTGGGCCTGCTGTCTGGGGAGGGGGCAGGGAGGAGGCTGACGCTGCCTGCAGAGGAGAGAGGTTTCAGGACCTGCAGGAGACCCTCTTTCCACGGGCAGGGCCTAGCATGGCAGGGCTCACACCCTGCCAGAACTCCCAAGGGCAGTTAGGCCCTCTGTCCAGCCACAGCCTATCTCAGAACCTAGGACCCTGGAGCCCTGGGAGTTGGGTCTTCCAGGAAGGAGCAGGTGGCTCTGCGGCTAGATGACACAAATAGCTCTCAAAGGAAAATCCAGGCTTGTGGCACTAGCCACCCCAGTGACCCAACTGGCAGGGTCAGTCCTCCACAGGGAGAGAGGGCCAACAAGTTTCTGTTCTCTTCTTTGGGTCCCAGGTTCCCCCCACCCCCATGCCTGCTCTGGGTATGCTGGGCTTAGGCTGGATGCCACCAGGCATTAGGGATGGCAGGTAGTGTGGGGCTAGTACCTGCTTGGCCTGCTTCCAGGACTCTTCCCACTGCTTGATGGTCCCGTTGGCTTCATCTAGCTCTTGCCGAAGCCGGGCCAGCTCAGCAGCCCCTGGCCCTGATAGGAAGGCAGGGGAAGTCCCTGGGGAGAAGCTTCCAGAGGCAAAGTGCTCCCAGATGCTGCTGTTCATTCCATTCAGACCTGCCCCAGGAAGGGGAGGAACATCAGCTGTGGAGGGCTTGGGCCTGGCCACCCCTGCCTGGGAGTTTCTAGGGCTGGTTGGACACTGGGTGGGCATGTGAGACTCTAGTCATGTCAAGCCAGGGTGTTTTGCAAACACGGGTCAGTAGGCTGTAAAGGTGCCCTGGACTGAGTTACAGACCTAGACCTCAGTGCTTCCTGTTCCTTAATGGCTCTTCTTATGAGTCTTAGTGTTTTCATCTGTACCTTGGATCCCATCACTAGCCTGACTAGGGGCTCAGGAAGTATTACAAGGGAGGGCATTGTGAAGGCCCCTACTGGTGACAACTGGTAGTGATGACATCACTAGAAATCTAAAAGGCTAGAGCTCAGAGAGCTTTCTTGTACCTAGTGTGAGGCCTGAGAGGGTCCTGGATGACAAGATCAGGAGGAAGAGATATGGGAAAAGAGCCACTGGACAGCACCTTATGTGATAAAAGGGCTGGAGCAGGAGAAGCCAGGGAGCCTTGGCCTCTTTGTTTTACAGAGGACAATGAGACAGGATGTGCTATAAGAATCTCAGAAATCTGGGTGTAGTGGTGCACACCTGTAGTCCCAGCTACTTGGGAGACTGAGGTAGGAGTATCACAAGTTTAAGATCATCCTCAGCAACTTAGCGAGACCCTGCCTCAACATAAAGAGAGAAAAATGAAGGGATTTGGCTTAGTG